TATATGATGTCCTCCTCATATGAGGACGGTAGATTTATTTTTGCATTTAATATTTTTCTTTGCATATTGGGGTCAGAAGGTCCCAATAACAAAATGTCAGCTTTCTATGATAAGCAGTTCTCTAAAAAAATAATAATTCATTCCTTTATTTAAACAGGTTAGTCTCATTGAGCCACGAGGACTCGTTTACAGGAGTGACCTGAATTTAAACAAAGAGTGATGACAACAGTGGACAACAACAATAGACAATCATAAGGGATGCATACAAGTTTAAGTTTTTTGTTTGTTTGTTTGTTTGTTTGGGTTTTTTTTTTTTTACAGTTGAAAACAAAATGATAATATAAAGGATAATTAAAAGGAAACATAGCGAACAAACCAGCTAGATTACGAGGCGGTGTAGAAAACTAAAAACAGGAACATGTCTGCATTGGTTCTTGCCAGGAACTTAACAGATGTTTGAAGCCACTTAGAGAGGTCAAGGTCGAGAGCTTAAAATCTTTTTGCAAGATATTCCAGGAAACAAGAGCGGAGTAGGAGAAGGCCCGTTCAGTTCTCACTGAGGGAACACTGCAGGTAATAATGTCCTGAGAGCGCACGCTGTAACTGCACTCACACAGAGACATCTAGGAGGAGATGTATGAAGGCAGCAGACCAAGAAGTGATTTAAAGATGAAAATGTACCAGTGGGAGAGTCTGCGTGAAGTTAATGATGTCCAGTTAACCAGTGAATACAGGGTGCAGTGATGGGTACGATACGCACAGCCACTTTTGAATCTTAGTGCACCATGATAGACAGCATCCAACATCTGCAGGGTGCTTGTAGGAGCGTTCATGTAAATAATGTCACCGTAATCAATCGAGGGAAGGAAAGTTGCAGTTGCAGGGCGTTTCCTAGCATTCAGAGTTAGACAGGATCTGTTTCTGAAAAAGAAACCCATTTTAACTTTCAGTTTCTTTACCAAATTTTCCACGTGAAGCTTAAAAGAGATCTGCCAGTTGACCAAGATAATGAGTTTTTACTTCTCATGTTTTCCCATATTCATAGTCATTTCATTTAGGCAGCACAGCTTTTCCCACATACATTTGAAATCATTTGGTTTTTCAAGCATTTTGGACCTTTACAAGATTTTGTTTAAGTGTACCTCACTGAGAGAATAAACAAAGATTTTGAAAAGCTTGTACAATTTAGAAAGTTTATGTTTTTTTTGTTTTTTTTTTAGATGTTTCTGCACACAGGCAAATTTGAGCAGACTTTATACAAGTAAGTTTGACTCTCTGCCATATTTAAGCGTTTCCGCTGTCCGACTTTTATTTTGAAAAACACAGGAAATGCTCTAGCCGTTACCTTGTAGCTTGTTACCAGTAGCGTAGCTGCTGACGCTGGTTTCCAGTCCGCACCCTCCCGGCTGCTGGAACGATTCCTCCCTCTTCTGGAGCCTGAATGTCAGCCTGGATGTCTTTCCTCACCGTTTACCTACCGCAACAGGTAAACAAATACGCAAAGACTTAGCTTCTCATTTAAAATGAAAAATAAAAAACCGAAAAACAAAAAGCGACGCGAAATGTAACTGAAGCTCGAGACGGTCGAAACAGGTATTTTGATTTTTAGCGGCGCTAAGAGTGGGATGTCCCGCTTTATTAAATCAAACCTGCAGCCTAACAGACGATGCAGGGTATTATTAACAAAGCTGACGTTTAAATTTGCTGCAGTGGAGCTGCCATCCTGTAAATGTATTGTTTTTCTTAAACCCTGACAGCCTCAACATGAACATCAGCCATATTAACAAATGCCTTTTTACACCATGTTCCCTAAATGCCTTAATTAGTTGCACTAACTTAAAATTAGAGATGAATTTATGTTAAGAGCTCCTGGCTCTTTGTTAATATTTATGCTGTCATTATTTTTAAAGAAATGTTTGATCAACATACAGTATTTTATCACTGTTTACAGGGGAAAAACCAGTTTATAAGACATTTATTCTGTTGTCTGGGGTTCTTTAATATTTCAGTTTACCTGTAATGCACTCCTTTTTAGTGGTAATTACTGGGATTCCCTAAAAAAAAAATTTTTTTTAAAAAGCTATGTGAAAGTCTTGATCTAGAGCTATATACGTATTTTGTAGATTCACATTTATAGAACAGGGGACAACACAATCCCTCATGTACACCATAGCAGGTGCATCTGTTCCCTCATGGTTCCCAGCTTGGAAGCAACGTGTTATCAGGTGCTTATATAGTTCAACACCAGTGCCTATTTTTCATTATTGAATGAGACGACTGGAATAAGCTGTTCTTAATGCATGCGTTCATTCTCTGCAGTGTAGCTACAACAGATTGCTCAGTGTGTGTGCATATATAAACATGTGTGCATACTGTTCTGCTTTTCTCAGTGACAACACAAAGAGGAGACTATTTGCTGAAGTAGCAAAGTCCACCTTAAACTGCAGTTTCTGTAACATCTTGTCCCATTCTCGCTATGGCTGTATTATATATCCACCTGACGGGACGAAGCATTGCATAACCTGCACATGTGCATTCACAGTTGCAATGAAAGTGGCGAAGAACTTTGGACTTTTTAAGTGTTGGTTTGCATAAAAGTAGTTGATTTAGCATTATTCTCTGAACTTAAGCCAAACATTTAGTAGGAAAGCGGCATACGGGTAGAACTGCAACGTGTGTTTTAAGCTTCGAGGGGTTAAGCTGACCTACAAATGTCTGAAAACGATATGAATGAACTCTCTAGTTGGTGTCCTCAATTTTAACCTGGAGCACAACAGAGGAAGGTGTGTATGTCTGTGTGTCTTTGTGTATTTCTATCCCTTTGCTTTTGTGAATTTGCACAACATCATAACACGCATCACACACACACACACACAGGCGTCTTTCTTTGCTAGGTTCTGTAGCACTTCCTGGACTGTGTCAACTAGAACAGGGCCCCCCTCTGTGTGTGGGGAGTGTGTGTGTTCGACACACTTACACACACAGGCTGATGCATTGATATGCCTTATCCAACTGGTCTAGCGAGCTACACACACAGGTGTCAATCAGCATGCTGGTGAGAGTCAAAGGGTCTTTTTAGAGTCATTTTCTGCTTGAGGGGAATGGGTCAGCAAAGCAAATCACTGGTCCTTCTGTGACTTACACCAACAAGCAAATCAAAAAGTTTCAGTATTCATCAAAAATACTGTTAAAAGTATGTCAGACTAAAATAAATCAAACTGTTAGCTCGATATTTTTCAATTGAAGGACCAGATATTTATTTTTCTTCCTATCCCTTTTCCCTTTTAAAACAGTTGAGACATTTACAGACGTATAATTAAATTTACAAAGAGTATTTCAGTAAAGATAGCGAGCACAACCATTTTTTTTGTTGTTGTGGCACAGTCGGTGTTGATAAAGAGGGTGTTGTTTGTTCCCTTTGTCGATTCATTGTTGTATCTATCAGGACGTGTCCTGTTTGAACAGTGAAGACTCTCTAATGCAGCCAGTTGGAGAGACTGCGTTGTGTTTAAAACGCTCACACACTTCAAGGTATTCAAGTGTTTGTGTATGAGGGTGGATGTGTGACTGTTAAATACCATCATTCACCATGTTTGCACATGGTAGTTAAAGGAACAAGCAGTACGTACAGTAGCTCAGGGTGCTATTTAAAGCTTTTGTTTGTTTGTATATATATATATATATATATATATATATATATATATATATATCAGAGTCAGAGATTCTTTATTGTCATTTTATTGTCATGTGGTGGAGTGAAATTATGTACACAGGGTCCCAGTTACATCCAACAATAAAATGTAAAAGAAAAACAGTAATAAGATCTAAGATATGAACTAAGAAAAACATCAACTAAATATACACTAAGCACTAATAGCACACACACACACACACACATATATATATATATATATAGCACACTGGTAGCTACACTATATAAAATGGTAAAAAAAAAAAATGCAGAAAGAATTGTGTAGTTACATTAGTACATGTAGCATTATGGGTAGCTACAATATAGCAGGATGTCATTTACTTAAGTTAATATATTTTGTAAAAATTTGTTAGAAAAAAATTCCAATATGTTGCATTCAGACTTGGCTTGACTTAAATTTTAATCAACATTTTAACCAATCCAAAACTAAACTTAAACAAAAAAGCTAAACAAACACAAGCGTGTTCAAACAAAACTCGAACAAATATCTAATTTGCTTTTACTAAATGCTCCTTTAACTTAACATCCATAACTGTCATTTAGCAGCTAACTAAATGAGCATTAATTATGTTAAAATTATTACAATGCTATTTAGAGTGCAAATTAAAAATAAAATATACATTATGTTTTTTGCCTGATCATTTATATCTAGATTTATAAATGGAGAGAAGTAGATTAGCATAACTATCAGTTTAGCCAAACTACTAGCTTTTTTGTATTAAAGGTAAGTAGACAAAACTCCTACTTTTAGCTATAAACTACAGCCAAGTAGTTTAGCATATTTAAGCTGGTTTAGCTGAACTAGTTTAATGTAATAACTAAACTGCTAGCTACTTAGCTTGTACTGTTGTGCCTTGCAAGTGAAGAATCATTCAACCTTTATTTACACAGGTTAGTCTCATTGAGCCACGAGGACTCATTTATAAGATTTTAGACAGATAACATACAAAGTACAGACAACAATAAACAACAATGAATAACAATAAAATGCAATTAAAATAAAATTAGTGCTATAAAACAATAAAATCAAGTTGCCTTATGAAACAAGTTAAAATACTAAAAACAAGAACATATTTGCTTTGATTTTTTTTTTTTTTTTATCAAATGTTTAAAATCCCTTACAGAAATCAAAGTGGACATCTTCAGTTCTTGTCGCAGGGTGTTCCAGGTTACAGGAGCAGAGTAAGAAAAAGCCTTTTTGCCAAGTTTTTTCTGACTCATTTTAATTTTCTGACACCAACACACAAAACTTGAACATTTGTTAGATTTAATGATCCCCTTGTGATATAATGATACACAAACCAAGTTGTTGCTCCAAGTTGAAACCTACCTACAACAACACGTAAGAATAAAGTCAAAATGTGAAATAAATAATCTTTGTAACCTTGTTTGTTTAAAACTTTTTTTTTTCAGCTTACAGAAAGAAGTAGGATTCCTAAATCCACTCTGTCCAAAAGTTTTATTAGCCTATTCAAATTTTAATATTTTAAGTAGCTGAAGAGAATTTAATGTATTTTGGGGGAACTTTAGTAAAACAAAAAAAAAATTGTTGCTTTAACAATTTTAACCTATACAAAGACTGGTTAGTAGATAAAGCCACTCCGTAACAAAATTCTATCCCATACAGTAACCCATGTATCATCCATTTCTAACTACTAAAATTTTATGAAAGCTTTTTCATATATCCTTGCAAGGTAACTAGGATTAAAAAAGGATATGCACTTCATTCAAGACATGCAAAAAGTCAATGTAATGCCACTTTGATTGTTGCTATGTGCTGCTGATTATCCATGCTGCTGATCTTATGCTGCTAATTTATTTCATGTTGCTGTATTCATTCATACTCATCTGCTCACACAGACTCATGTTCGTGCTGCTGCTGTTCGACGTATTGTTTTTGCACTATTAAGTGTTTAACGTATTCTTAGTGTATTTCTTAGTTCACGTCTTAGATCTTATTACTGTTTTTCTTTCACAATTTATAATTTTGTTGGATGTAACTGGGAATCTGTGTACGCAATTTCGTTCCACCACATGTATCAGTTCCACCACATGTACCACATGAGACGCGAATGACAATAAAGAACCTTGACCTTGACAGACTACAACCGAAACAACTGGTTTAAATGAATTCTTTATAGAGAACTTGTTACTAGCAGCCCGTTAATCAAATACACATGCACACCTTTCCTATTTTTGTTATTGAGTTTACAAGTGGTGGGCAGAGCTAACCAAATAGTTAAGTTTGCTAACCCATACTCTGCTAACTAAAGAATTAGCTTCACTAACAAACATTTGATCATGTCGATAGAAAAATCAAAGCAAAGCTTATTTCTAGTATTTCACCCTGTTTTACGGCACCTTGATTTATTGTTTTATACGCTACTCTTTTTTTTACTGTAGTTTATTGTTGTCATTGTTTACTGTTATTGTTGTCTGTACTTTATATGTTCTGTCTGGAACAGGTCTCTCTTGTAAATGAGTCCTCGTGGCTCAATGAGACTAGCCTGTATAAATAAAGGCTGACTGAATGAAACTAACGCTAAACTACTAACTAGGTAAAATAAAAAAATAAAGAAATAAGCTGAAGCCAATGCTAAACCACTAGACAACTGTCACTTAGTCTGCGTCCAGTGTTGCCAGATTGGGTGGTTTTCATTCTGATTTTGCTGGGAACTCTGGGAAGATTTTTGTTGGATTGTTGTGTTTTGCCACATATTGTTAAATTACCTTGGCTTGTACTGAAGTGCGTTCACGTTCAAGCAGTAACTATACTATTGATTGGGCAGATTTTTGTGTGATGTGGTGGTTTTTAACAGATTTTTGGGCTGGAAAACATCGACTCTTATCTGGCAACACTGTCTGCATCACACATCTTCATCTACTTCCAGTAGAAGCTGCGTCGACCAATCACGCCTTGTCACGTGCACACGCATAGTAAGCCAATAGCGTGCCTAACAGACACTTCGAGACATGCCCACAACAGACAGGAACAAGCTTGTGAATTTTGTTAGCGGACTTAAAGTTGGCCAAACCTAATTTAGCGGGCTATTGTGCTAACAGTTTCCAAAGTTAGCAAATAACGCTAATCTACTAAACAAAAAAATTGTTCTGCTGTTAGCTGTTTGAACTGTGCCCACAATTGGAATTTTTAAAAACTGTCAACTCTTACAAAGTTTGGAAGACATAAAATAGTACTTTTTGCACCAAGATGATTTTTAAACAGCCATTAGCCATGTGTTGACATGATGTGTAGTTAGTGTTTAAAATTTGAAAAAAGCTAACTAGTTGAAAGATAAAAAAAAAGAAGACATAGATTTAAAAAATATCTACCACAACTGAATTGTATTGAAAAGTCTTGTCCCTAAAAATAGAAAAAAGTCTACCCACTTAATTCATATTTATTTAACTAATTTTGAACATTTATTGTCAATTATGTCTTCTAATTAAGTTTGCAGACAAGAAGCAGTGCGGATATCAAAGACGTGCAGAGGGATAGACTGGATTCTGTGGTTCATTGCTCTTAAGTAATTGGCAGTGCCGGCGTGTGCAGGCAATGATTTATATTACAACACACAGTAGAAGCACCTCACCTCCAGGAATCCACACAAATACTGGTAACCCAATTATGAAACAACAGCATAATACAGTAAGAGCAGAGGGAGATAAAAATCCATTCATGTTGGATGGAATAAGGAATAAAATAAGACATCAAGACAAGAGGTCATTCTAATCCATTCAAAATAGAATCGACCCATGCAAACACAAAAATGGCTATAACTCAGTCAGTGTTCCAGACATTGAACTAAATTTTGGTGTGGTAGTGGCTGATAGTCATCTCTGAAGATCTTTGTTCAAAACTTGTTTTTAATTATTATAAATAACCTTTGTTTTACCGTGCAAATCTAATAAAGATCACAAATATTGTTTCCAAGGGAGGTCCAGGCCCGAAAGCAGACTAAACACGCATGTTCTTATAGACTGTGAGAGGAAACTGGAGGACCCAGAGAAAACCCACACAAACACAAGGAGAACATGCAAACTCCATACAGAAAGACCCCAGGTTCAAACTGGGGCTGGAACCCAGGACCTTGCTGCGAGGCAACAATTCTAACCACTTATCCACCATGCAGCTTTACTTTGTCATGTAACGCGGCAGGTGATAAACATTCCCTCAAGAAATGCCATCTCATTCCTTTTTAAAGGACTCTTCGCTCGTTCTTGTTATTGTTTTAGATGTTCATGGTTTTGACTTGGCCTCACATGACCTTTCACCTCATGGGACTGAGAGATCCCATGGACAGAATCTCATCCATTGATCATGGCCCCTACTGAAAGACCTCTCTGGATGCAGACCGCAATAAATCCATATTTATACAGTTTCATACAATTTCTCTCCTAATACGTCCCAAGCTAGATGACCACAGTCACAAGGTTCATGCATGTAATAGCAGCAGGACTCAGATGTGCAGCATCTGTCTGTCAGCCTGGATGGGTAAACAGGTTTTCCTCGGTGTCTCGAGTATTCTCGATGACGGTAAACATACACAGCATCCAGCAGCCCCTCCCACACTTTTATTCATATAAGCATCCCTCTCCATACATCAAAGTGATGACATTTATTTTAACAGGCTCCCTCTGCAATTGACCAGCCCACACCTTTCTCTAAGCCTGACAGTCAATAACTGGAGTGGAGAGACGCCAAAACAATATCTGTCCCGCCGATCAGCAAACATACCCCTCTGTGGCTAATAATAAAGCCATATTGAGTCAACAAATCTATAAAACTGATTGCAGCCATCTTGAATTGGGCTGACTCCTAACGTTAATCGGTTGTGGCTGTACACCTGATGAATACCTCCTGCAAGGTTCACTAAAACTTGTCCAGCGGATCATGAAATATTTTGGTAACAGACGGACACACAAATACTTGCATGGTTAAAAACGAGATAGTCTGCCTTTGCTTTTTGGCAGCAGGGCATAAAAGCAAATATTTGTGTTCAAAGTAATAGAATGCTACTTGGACAGAAAAATCAAATGGCACAGGCAGAACCTTAGTGCAGTCTCACTAAGCTTTGTGGTCTGTTTGCGATTCGGTCAATAATAATTAATGTTGCCTTTCTCTCGCACCACCCTCTCCTCCCCCTTTACTCTAAAGGCTGTCTGTCTTCCTCACGCTCACTGTGCTACGGTGGTATTGTCTGTTTTTGCTGCCTTACTTCCCCTCCCATCTGTCTCGGTCATCCCTCACCATGTTCACTGTTCTCTGTGCCGTCCTTCCAATAACAAAGAGATTAGATTATTTTTAGCTTTGTTTCTCTCTCATATCCTTCGTAATCTTCCTCATTCACACACTTTTATCCAAGGGTTTGTGCCACACACACACGTTCACGCTCTCACTCGGGTCTCTCTGATTTCTTTGCAGATGTCTGAGCGCAAGCCAGCTGAGTAGAGGACTTTCCTCTTCACCCCAACGTTCCACCTGCAGCCATGAATGGTAAGAACGTCGTTTTCTATCCTCGTCGAGCAGGAAAGTTTGTGGCCACAATGTGCTCGTTTTCAGGAAGCCAAATCTGGGATTTGATTTGGAAAACATTCAAGGCCTGAATTCATTTATTGGAATGAAATAAATGAACGCAAAAGAAAAACAGATAGTACTTCTTTTAGTCTTTTTCTTTTCAAACTTATTTTTCTCAGATTAAATTGTTCTTGTCAGATTGACTTTTTGTTGCGTGCAACTGCTAGTCCCAAATATGGTGTGTGAGGTGTGAGATCATGCTAATGGAGTATTGATTGGCCATCAGAGTAGGAGGATAAGGCTTTAAGTAAATCCATTTTAATCTGTTTAGTTCTGGAAATGAGTTGAACATCATTTTAACACCTTCAGGCCTCAAGAGAATATAATGACAAATTAACTGTTACATAATAATAGGTAAACCAACCATTTAACACCATACAAGTCAAGTGAATATAACTGCATGTGTCTGTGTTTGTCTGTTAGCAAAATATCGCATGAACCACAGAACTGATTTTATAGAATTTCTCAGAAAGTAAAACATCTACATCTGTTTACCTCCTGAAGTCAGTTTGATTGAAGATGGCCGCCACAACTAATAAAACTTAGTTAACACAAAAACACCCATAACTCGGTTAACAAGAAAAATGGTAAAATCGTGTCATCTGGACCAGTTTCTTTAAGTGAGAAATGTTTCGTCCCCCATCCAGACGACTTTGTCAGTCTACGGCTTGCCAAGCAGATCTGTCCCATAAGTAGACTTCACTGCTGTGTTTCAAGCAAACCTCCTGTTGGAATTTCAGAAGTAGGCTTTTAACACGTGCAGAATACACTCATCCAAAACAATCAATCATCATGTACAACAATCAAATGTTCATAACTCAGTCAGTTTAACAGATATCAAGTAAAAGTTTGAGGTGTTAGTAGCTGAGAGTCATCCCCATCACATACAGGTGCTGGTCATAAAATTAGAATATCATGAAAAAGTTGATTTATTTCAATAATTCCATTCAAAACGTGAAACTTGTATATTATATTCATTCATTACACACAGACTGATATATTTTAAATGTTTATTTATTTTAATGTTGATGATTATGACTGACAACTAATGAAAACCCCAAATTCAGTATCTCAGAAAATTAGAATAGTACTTAAGACCAATTTTAAAAAAATGATTTTTTAGAAATGTTGGCCCAATGAAAAGTATAAACATGAAAAGTATGAGCATGTGCAGCACTCAGTACTTAGTTGTAGCTCCTTTTACCTGGATTACTGCTGCAATGCGGCGTGTCATGGAGTCGATCAGTCTGTGTCACTGCTCAGGTGTTATAAGAGCCCAGGTTGCTCTGATAGTGGCCTTCAGCTCTTCTGAATTGTTGGGTCTGGTGTATCACATCTTTCTCTTCACAATACCACCATAGATTTTCTATGGGGTTAAGGTCAAGCGAGTTTGCTGGCCAATTAAGAACAGGGATACCATGGTTCTTAAACCAGGTACTGGTAGCTTTGGCACTGTGTGCAGGTGCCAAGTCCTGTTGGAAAATTAAATCTGCATCTCCATAAAGTTGGTCAGCAGCAGGAAGCATGAAGTGCTCTAAAACTTCCTGGTAGATGGCTGCATTGACCTTGGACCTCAGAAACACAGTGGACCAACACCAGCAGATGACATGGCACCCCAAATCATCACTGACTGGAAACTTACACTGGACCTCAAGCAACATGGATTCTGTGCCTCTCCTCTCTTTCTCCAGACTCTGGGACCTTGATTTCCAAACGAAATGCTAAATTTACTTTCATCAGAGAATATAACTTTGGATTACTCAGCAGCAGTCCCAGGCGAGATGCTTCTGACGTTGTCTCTTGTTCAAGAGTAGCTTGACACAAGGAATGTGACAGCTGAAACCGATGTCTTGCATACATCTATGCGTGGTGGTTCTTGAAGCCCTGATTCCAGCTTCAGTCCACTCTTTGTGAATCTGACCCACATTTTGGAATGGGTTTTGACCATCCTCTCCAGTGTGCATTTATCCCTATTGCTTGTATACTTTTTTCTACCACATCTTTTCCTTCCCTTAGCCTCTCTATTAATGTGCTTGGACACAAAACTCTGTGAACAGCCAGCTTCTTTAGCAATGACCTTTTATGTCTTGCCCTCTTTGTGCAAGGTTTCAATGGTCGTCTTTTGGACAACTGTCAAGTCAGCAGTCTTCTCCATGATTGTGTAGCCTACATAACTAGACTGAGAGACCATTTAAAGGCCTTTGCCAGTGTTTTGAGTTAATCAGATGATTAGAGTTTGGCACCAAGTACCTTCAATATTTAACCTTTTCACAATATTCTAATTTTCTGAGATACCGGATTTGGGGTTTTCATTACTTGTCAGTTAAAATCATCAACATTAAAATAAATAAACATTTAAAATATATCATTCTGTGTGTAATGAATTAATATAATATACAAGTTTCACTTTTTGAAAGGAATTATTGAAATAAATCAACTTTTTCATGATAATGTAATTTTATGACCAGCACCTGGTACTTTGAGCTCTTACAGGTTGCACAAGATTTTTGGTCAAATTTTTATTTGTTTGTTTAGTGGGCAATAAGCATTCCTTCAAGGAATGCTGATTTTTAATATCCTGATGCATGATTTTTAATGTTGTTTTGTTCCGGAGTTAAGATTTTAAAGTCTTATCTGTTGTGCTTACATTATAAGATGATTCTGTTTTGGTTCTTTTTGTGAACAGTGTAGTCAGTTGCATGCAGCTCCTCAAGTCCTTCTTAGAGTAAAGGCTGTGTTGATATTCCTCATTCATATGATTTTTTTTTTTTTTAAGTTCCACACTGCAGACTTAGTTAGTTAAACCATATTTACTAAAATATCATGGCAAACACATTGTCTTGGTGAGAACATGGAAGGCAGGCTGTTTGAATTACTACACTCTCATTGAGACATTTTAAAATCATTTGCGTGTGAATTCATTAACCAGAGACTGGCAGGATGCAACAGTGAAAAGAAGAAGTGTGTGTGTGTGTGTGTGTGTGTGTGTGTGTGTGTGTGTGTGTGTGCGTGCATGCGCGTGCGTGCGTGCGTGCGTGTGTGGGTGTGTGTGTGTGTGTGTGTGTGTGTGGGCTGAAACACTGCAGTGATGCATTGCATCGATCCACTACTGGAACATCAGCCTGGCCTCCTGATGTCAAGTGATTGATGTGTAAATACTGATGAAAACGGCGATGTGGTCTACCCCCTGCAGACTGGAGCAAGGTGCTTGAGGGACTGACTCGAGCGACTCCTAACTAAGGACTTTGCAGTACCTAGACAACAGCACACACAGGCTGACAAAGAGGAGAGGAAAAACACGAGGCAGAGACTCTTTGTGCAGCAGCTGCAGTGAAGAAAAGATGTGGTACAGTCAGTTTAAATTCTGCACAGGTGACTTTGCTATAGAGGCCAGTCTACGTGTGTGTACCGTGGTGGTTTTTTTTTTTTTCTGTGCTTGGACTACGTGTTATGCCAGTGTTGACTGAAGGACTCTTGTGTATTCTCTGAGAATTTGTGGTCCAGGCTGATTCTCAGAAGTTGTTTTCGTCCTCTCAGTGATGACGATTACATGTTGGGCTGAAAGAGTTTTTAACATTCAGAATGTTTGGACAAAAAACTTGGAAATTTAAGACCTAACATCTCTCGAATTATTGCATATCGCCTGATGCAGGTTATCTTCAAGTGCAAATAGCAGCAGCAACAAGAGGTGCCACTTCTGGTTCAGTTTAGGGCACTTCCAGCAGGAATATCTAATATTTTTGTTAAAATAGACACATAGCACAAAACCAGTAATGCTCGCATGAACTGATGTCAAAACAGCATTTTACTTCGGTCTTGACCCTGCTTGGACTTGCCGTTTACCAATCTGGTCAGAATTTCTCCAAAGTGAGGCCAATCAGAGTTATCAGGTATCAGCTAACGGATAATGTGTTAACTAGGACTGTGCAATATTAGGAAAGCGTGCAACTAGGCCTGTCGCAATAAATCAATTAATCGCATGTTAAATTAAAATTATCAACCTCATTTTCATTTATCAGCTTTATCCTTTCTTCATCTCTTTCTTTCTACTGAAGACACTGGATGACAAAAGGCTCAACTCCGGTGCTCTTCACTGACGCCCCTCCCCCCCTTCTCTTTTCTCTTTAAAATCCATTTTAATTGTCCAAAATCACATTCTTGGATCATTAAAAGCAGCTAAGCTGAGAAGCTAAGCTACGAGCTAAGCTAACAGGCCGACCTCGGGGTAAAAACCTCCGTCTTGTCGAAGCTCCAACATTCACAGTTGAAACTCATGCCTTTGTGTAAAAAGTTGTTTTTCTCTGCAAAAAGAAGCAGAGAACATGTTTACTGATTTTTTTTAATTAAAAGCTTTGTGTGAAAAATGCTATGCTAAAGAGCTCAAACCACACCGAACGTCCGCCATTTTGAGAAACAAAGTGGAGACAGCCCATATCACAAGGGGCCTCCCTCCCATTTTTCTTAGAGACACATTGCTTGCTCCCTCACTATCCATCCTTCAGTTCAAACAGTCTTTTACTGCATCCGGTGGTCAAAAAAAATGCACTACACGCAAAACAAATTAGCAAACATTTATTCTTAAATTTGACAAATACTAATTATTGTCAAATTTAAACAATATTATCATTTATCGCAATAATTTCTGAAGCAATTAATCGCCCAGCAAAATTTGTTATCATGACAGGCCTATGTGCAACTGCAATATTATTGTTGCATAATGTTATGACAATATCAGCTGCGATAAATCCACATTTTTCTCACTCCGTTCTTTTTCTAATGTCCTCAAGACACTCACAACTCTCTTTAGTGTGGCTTTAGCGCTTAGCTTTCCACGTTCTTCTAAACCAAATGTCCCAGTTTAGTATAATGGGGATCCATCTGATTGTCAAAAATATTATCAGCATCAAGTTTGGGTTTGTGATTAATTGCAATATTGATTCTGACTGCTCTGTAATTGAGTTAGTGATAACTTTTCGATGTATTGGATTTACTGTAACCCATTTTCAAATTACCTTAACTCTACCTTTATACCAAATAAGGTAGCAATCATATTTATCACTTTTTTATATAAATTACATAGATGTGTTACTTTGTGACTGAGGTTTCAAGTTGAGGAAAATATTTGCTTAATTCACTTAATGCATTACTGAGTGCAGGTGCTGTGAGTTCGTAAATAATTTGTGTCAGCTCAGCCCTAAATCAAATCTTGCATCTATAAGTCTCTTCAGTGCTGGATTTTATATTGTTCTAATGCAGAAATGTGGCACATTTTTATCTGCTCTCATATTGGGTGGCCATATGTCTCCAGCAGGACAAATGTCAAGCCTATAAATTCTGCAATTTCCATGTAAGAAGCTTTGCAGTGCCCCACTTATTCACAGAGCATCAGCCCTTACTGATGCATTCCCTGCATTAACTGACAGGCGGTTATGTGGCCGTGCTGGCTACATGTCCCAGTTGCACTCTGCTGAACATCACCTCCCCTCTCACTGACAGTAGCTCTAAATGAGAGGGCTGACAGAGCCAATGAGATATTGTGCAATACTTACATGATCTTGTGAGATTAATTACCTTCTCATTTTTACAGCAGCTTTTTGCTGACAGTGTGTCAGAGTAGGTTTGGCACTGTGAGCTGCTAACTGCAGCTTTATTGGGGCAGAAAGTACACACCTGGACAGGTGTTGCTGTGGTTGTTCGCATGGTAAAAACAGTTCAGCCACAGCCAGTTTGCTAACAAACAGCGGGTAGTGTCAAGACCTGTCTTTCACAAAATAAAAATGCAACCCTTTTTCACAGTTGCCCAACTATATTTTGCAATTCATAAATGTTACTTAAGCTCAGTAGTTGATTGTGTCATTACATTCCTCAGTAAAAGATGTGAAGCAAGTCTGTGTGCGGTCGAGTGGATTGTTTGGGTTAGTGCTGTGGTGGAAGTTCTGCCATGGGCAGGGTGGTATTTCCTGCAGAATAAATCACAGCCTGGATGACATATCCTTAAAGATGCATGGCTGCAAAGAATATCTGAATGTACCTCTCCTGATTTTACACTTATTAATCTAAAATAGAATTTGTTTGTCTAGCCAGATAATCTGTTTTTCTACTAAAGGTTTTCTTCACAGATAATAAGTTTATTATCGTATGTCTGCATGGGAAGGCAGGCGATCATGTATCTGTGTTTGTTCGTCTATTAGCAAAATGTCTCAAGGACTGCAGGGTGGACTTCAATGAATCTCAAAAACAAATTAATATATATTTCCATTTCCTGATAAAATTCAGCTTGAATGCTGAGTGCATTTAAAAAGAAGCTGAAACTGAATTGTTAAACTTAAAACAAACTGAACAGGGCCTAAAATGAGCAAAGCTGTGTCTAAAGCTAAAATTCACAAAAACATAGCAAAAGTTGCTCAAAAAGTTGCTCAAACCTAAAAAAAGCTTTTAGAAAAAACAAAAAGTCAACTGACCGTTTTGATGCATGTATGATTATTTAGCACAAAATACGCAGGAGTAGTTTGCAAAATAATGTACCTGATTCAAGGTGTCTACAACAGTTAATCTACCTTAGCAAATAAACATTTTCAGTCAGTTTTACAAATATTGAGCTAAAATGTGGCTGAGTCATCCCCATCTTGTACTCGGAGCGCCAGCAGGTCTGTGTCTTAAAGTTTGACATGTAAGGAGGCAGCGTGTAATACTGAATGTATGAATGTGTGAAAAACCAGTGCATGCACGGTGGGAACATGCAAACACATCAGAAAGCCTGCATTTAATTATGTCACTCGGATTATTGGGAGAAATCCACATTTTGTTTGCTCTCTGTGGTTACCATGGTAACATATTTTGGCATCAGAGAAGCCGTCTGTCAGGCAGAATAGGATGAACTGATCTTGAAATGAGCTAAAAATGATCATAAGAGGGATTTTTTTGTTGATGTTCCAGTTTACTTATGCCTTTAGCTTACACACTTAGCAACAAAAATACTTTGAGGTTTCTCTAAAATGTGTTGTATTTAAATTGTTCCAAGTATTTACGATTATTTACGTTTGTTTATCTTCTCGTCTTTGAGCTGTTTTGTGTCGCCGTCTGAGAACTCAGTTGTATTCTTTTCACACACTGTCTGGCTTCATATTTTATTCAACACCAAACTTATCTTAAAATACTGTGTGAGAAGGAGCTGAGTGGACAGTTTCATAAATTAATCATATTCAGGTTCCGATCTACCGAGGTTCAATCTGAGAGGAAGATCTTGTTTTGAAATGGATGAATTTAGATTAATTTAGTTTTGTAGTTTCTGTTTAAAAGTGCTTTTTCTGACTACAGGAAACTTGATTTGAGTTTGTGTGTTGATGGATGGAACAGGATTTACCCAGAAAGACTCAAACTCATCAGCTTTTCTCCTCTTAGTCGGCTTTTCGTCTATCACTTGTCTCTAATTGATTTGAGAAGGCTCTACTACAATTATCTTGACTGACTCAGAGTTTTACTTAGTCATATTTTATTTAGTTTTTTTGTTTGTTTAGTTAACTTGCTAATTTAAATTTGGGATATTTGTACCTTTCAACAGCTACTGTATAAATGGCAGCTAATTTAAAATATTTAGTTAGGTTTGAGCAGTCAGCAGGACTGCTAAACTCAATAAATGTGGAAATCTTATAGTTGAATGATCTGCCAAGCTACTGTTGAATTCTTGATTTTGATTAATAAAAAAGCATTTTAGGAGCAAAATGCATGTAATTTTCAAGGCCCTATCAAGTATCAAGTACTTTGTTACATATGAAAGTTGTAATGGGTGTTTGTGAACTTCCTTACCTAACCAATAGATTTTAATGTTTAAAATAAATATCTTGTTTTGGTTGTGAGATTTATTGTGGTCTCATTTTTCAAACGTTTGTCCACACATTTATCAATTTAAACCATTCTTTATTACAAGATCTAAATAAGAGATCATGTTTTTTTTTCTTCTTCTTCTGAGTTGGTAGTTTTCCCCTAAATGCGTCCAATTATTTCATCCATGTTGAAGGAAAATCAGTTGTTGTTTTTTTGTTTGTTCTCGTGGTCCAGATTTGTAGATTTAGATGAAACCAATGATAAAAAGCTGCAAAGGCGTACTTTGTTTTGGTGTGCCAAAAAGGCATGATAACTTGGATTTGAATATTATTGCTGTCCTTGGCTATGTCTCAGGTAGGCTGTAGTCACAGCAAACAAACTAAAGAAACTGAATGGTCCTAACATAATGACTACTGACAGGTGAAGTCAGTAACACAACATGTCTTGTAACAATTTACTGGGAAAAATTGCATTATTGATATGAAAGGAATTTTACAAAAAATTTTTCAAACACTTTTTTCTACAGCCATAAAATTGTTTCATGCATTATTATTATTATTCCTTATTATCTCTTGTTAGTAGGGCATAAACTCATTGTTCTTATAACTTTAAAATGAAATTATGACTAGATTGCCACATTCATCAGCACTGGAGGTGACACTGAAGGTTACATTTTCACATTACATGGCATATATAGTATAAAGCCTTTGACTGGCATTAATTCTGGATTTTAGTTCTGATTATTTCTTGGTTTATTATCCAGGCAGTGCCAGTGTTTGGGCCATCACGCCAGAGGAGAGAGGGAAACATGACAAACAGTTTGACAACCTCTCCCCAGTTCTTGGCTACGTCTCAGGTAGGCTGCTGTCACAACAAACTAAATGTACCAATAAGTCATTGCATTACAAATTCTGACCTCATAATGGTCATAATGTTATGGCTAATTGGTGCACCAGCCGACTCCCATCTCTCTGAAGCTCTGATTGTTGTTTTTCCACAGGAGAACAAGCAAGAAAGTTCTTCCTCCAGTCTGGCTTGCCGCCTTCAGTCTTGGCTGAGATTTGGTAAATAAAATTAATTTTAAAATCTCTTTATCTTCTAAATGTCTTGTGAACTTGTGTCAAGTGGGTCAGTAGGTCCAAAGCTTTGTGTTTGGTTAATCAGTTTAGTACATCAGCCTGTTTTCAGTTTCCTGTGGAGTGCTCATTTCCTTCACAGCCTGCCACACCTAATAAGCTATGTGTGTAAGAGGGGGCAGAAAGTGTGTGTGTATACTGTAATTGGAACAGTGCGTGTGTGTGTCTGTGTTGGTTTTTTGTGTGAAAAAATGTCGCTGGAATTCTATCCCACCAGAGCTTTGTCCCTTGTGTATCTTGCACTTTCTATTGTCTTGATACTGAGAAAAAAAGCACCAGGAATGTAGGTTTTGCTGCCCATACATCAGTGTACAAACCAGTTTTCTTCTCTCCTCTCCTGTAGGAACTTAGCTGACATGGACTATGATGGGAAGATGGATAGATTGGAGTTTTCAATCGCTATGAAGCTAATTAAACTTAGGCTTCAGGGGCAAAATCTGCCCTCCGCCTTGCCAGTCATCATGAAGCAAACTCCTACTTCCAATAATAATACAAGCATCCCTTCATCAGCACGATTCGGTAAAAATAATTCTCTTGTCTAAAAATTATTACACTTGTCAATTTATCAGTTGTTTTTTTAATGTACTATATTTTTTCTAAATCAAACAATATATTTAGGAGTATTTTTTTTTACTGTTTTTGCTAAATGATATACACTTGGAATATGAAATAACTGACTTGTACCGATTCATAGACGCAAAATTTGACTAGCTGGGTAGACAAACTGTGTACCTATGCGGTTTTTGTAATAAATCTAGATATGTGGTTAATCCATGACACTCAATCACTGTGTTCACTCATTAGTGGCATGTGTAGTTCAGGAGAACTGCAGCAGCACAGGTTTAAACAGCAACAAACACTCTGAAAGTGTGCTTCACCCTGATCATGTAGTGTGACTAATATTCCTGAACAAAGGAGTTAACTTATGTTTTAATGTGAAATATAATGTAAAGTATGCATTGTGCTACTCTCTATTGACTCACTTAAAGAGTGTTAAACACATCTGCTGCATTCTTGATTGTGCACAAAGTCTCATTTTTGTGCATTCTCTATTATTCAAGTCAGGTTTTATGAAATCGTATTGTAATTTTAAAACAAAGACATTTTTGTAAGTGGCCATGGGTTATTATTAGGTTACAAATCATTAGTTTTAATAACTGAAATTATATTTTCTTTGTTTTGTTGTATTGTCATACGTTGAATCTTAGAACTAAATCACAACTCATATTGAATTGCATTGTATCACAATTAAAAGTTGTATTGTCCCAATTTGTTGATGTTCATGTATCCCCAATGAATCGGGTTGGCAGTATATCTAGATGCGTATCATAATATCCTCAGTTTGGAGTAGCACGTCCCTAATATACACTTTACTTGTTAATGTAAACTAACAGAATTAGAAATAGTGTAACCCATTTTTTTAAACGTAACCTCATGTTGTCTACCTACTCAAAAGGTTTACCATCTCCCCATGTTTACCTGTCTCTTTCGTTTGTGTAGGAATGGGATCTATGCCAAATCTATCAGTTGGTTTGTCATCCATGCCAACTATGTCCACCATGCCCATTCTAACACCCATACCAGCTAACCTCCATTTACCCTCTGTACAACCCCTGGTGCCAATGCCAATGACCCTGCCATTGATTACCTCACTCGGAAAATCTGGGCTAACCAACGGCACCATCAACCTCTTCACCCCATCACTTGTTCCCAACAACGCAGGTTGGTTCAGCCGTAGAACTGTTCTGATCTTGTTCTAGGATGAATCAAGTTAAATACCCGGTACTAAAAAATGAATCTGTACTAAATCATTTAAACTTGATGATTAGAAATGGGGCAGCATGGTGGCTCAACTGGTAGAGCTGCTGCCTCTCAGCGAGCAGGTCCTTGGTTCAAACCCCGGTCCAGGGGCCTTTCTGGGTGGAGTTTGCATGTTCTCTCCGTGCATGCGTGGGTTTTCTCCGGGTACTCCGGTTTCCTCCCACAGTCCAAAAACATGCATGTTAGGCTGATTGGTAACTCTAAATTGTCCCTAGGTGTGAGTGAGAGAGTGAATGGTTGTTTGTCTCGTTTGTCTCTATGTGGCCCTGTGATGGACTTGCGACCCGTCCAGGATGTACCCCGCCCCTCGCACAGTGATTGCTGGACATGGGCACCAGCGACCCCCGTGACCCAAAATGGAACAAGCGGGTAAAGATAATGGATGGATGGATGGATGGATGGATGGATGGATTAGGAATGGATAGGTGGAACGATGTTGGGTTTATTTTGGTTCTGACTGTCTCACTGTTAAACTTAAGTTGTTTAGAATATTTATAAAGGAAGACATCATATAAAGGGACAAACAGTTCTGGGTAGTTGGTATTTACTCCATAGTGATGTACCCCCAAGAACTACATAACGTCAAAGTTTAATAGTGTATGTGCATGCAGACCATCAACTAGAACAGTTGTTCCCAAACATTTTAGTTTCATACCCTTAAAACAAAACTATCCCTTTAAGTGATACAATATAGAGAGTTGATATAGAAGCTAAAATTGCATTGAGTACAGTAATTACAATGTTTGTTAACCAATATTTACACATTTTTCATTGCAATTGCTAGTTCTGAATTCAAGTATTCAAATAATCGGCACCTTTTTCGATTGCATAGATAAATAGTTCAGAAATTATATATTTACATCACCTCTGTTTCCTCTTGTTCTAGGAAAGTGCCAGCCCTGAGTATACTAAATATTCTAAAAATACAATTCCAAGAACTTCCATTGTTTATAGTTTTCTTACTCTTCCTGTCCTGATGCACTGTCCTTATGTTGCTCTCCTAAATGTCAATGTATTCACTTTTTTTTTTTTTTCAAAATTTGTTTATTTTTTCTGTTATTTGGTGTGCTTGTATTCTTCACGTTCCTCTTTATTGTAGTGTTGGAGAAAACCAGAAAGTTTGAGACCAGATTTCAGTCACTTTGGTGCAGGAGCTTAATGAGCTGTGACCGTAAAATATTGGTTGTACATACAGTACATTCAAGAGCAACCCTGTTCATAAAGTGTCTACTGTTTGTCCTTAGTAAATGACATGGGCTCTCTGTTTACATTTGGCACCTAAAACAATTTTGTAACTTATTAAAAAAAACTTTCTCTGATTCATAATCGCAGGCCTTCCTATCTCTGGCTTTTCCTCTCCTATGGCTTTCTCTCCAACCACGGGCATGTCGAAGGCCAATTCTCTTCTGGACCTGGGGTCAAGCAGGTACGACTACAAAAGCCTAATTTAATTAAAAAGCAGCATTCCTTAAACAAAGGCATGTCACTCGTCGCCTTGGCTTCATGTCAAAGTTTTAAATAAAGATCTCACGTGATCTGGTAGCACTTGGAGTATATGATGGGAAAACGTCTCAGTTTGTAGCAAATGCTAGCTAAGTGTATGTGAAATTTACAGTTACAGCCATTTTTGTGTTTACCAAAGCGATTAGCTGTGGCAGCTAATCTGACTGTGTTCGGGTAAGGTTCACTCAAAGTTTATCAGTTAACATCTAATGATTACTTTAAGAGATATTTTGCTAACTGGTAGGGAAATGAACAGAAGCCCACATTACATTATTGGATGATGAAGCTGTAAATGTGAAATCAAGCTGCAACATGAGTTTCAAACCACCTAAGAGTTTAAAGTTTTACTGTTTTCAAATGAGTCACATATTCAGCACACATCTTGATATCAGTACTGTTTAAATACCGTCAAGCCTTTCTTCAGTGCTCATAAAGAGGCAGCTTTTTGGTACAGTATGAATGGTTGATTATCGTCCACAAGCAGAGATGAAACACCCAGATAAAGAGAGAGCAGGAAGGGCATTTTTAATCAGATCATCTTGTTGACAGTAGTAGGAAGTGGGCTTGTTCTGAGTCACAAAAACAGGAGAACTGGAATCCAATCTCAGCATTACACAGAGATAATGGAGATAATTCCTGAGCAAATATTTATTAACATTCCTTTAAAATTTGCTCAGATTTTCACGTTACTCACATACAGAATTATACTGCTTATTGTGTTGCTTTGTAGCTTGTAGCTCCATCATTAGAATGACTAAGATGCTAAATCTATATACTTGAAGCTATTATGCTTTTAATACCTGGCAATTATTTTTTTCAACTTTGGTGTTTACTCATCTACTTTACCTGTAGAAAATTTCAACCACAATTATTGGTCAGTTAGTAAATTATAAAGAGAAAAATAAGAGTCACGACCTTGTGTTATTTAAAGGAATACGTGTTTGTGGATATCAGACATTAAGCACTGTTTTTGACAAATTTGTATGGCAATGTAATCAGTTAGCTTAGAAAAGATATAATTAGTAAAATGTGTTGGAACCATTTAAAAATAGCCTAAAATATATTTTTGTGCTTTTTAATCAGTTAGATTTTTTTATGTTGATGAACTTGAACACCAACGCAAGAAAGCAAACCAATAAAATGTATTGGTTCTTGTTCTTAAATATTAGAGATCTTAATCTTTTAATTGGGAAGAAAACTTTTTTAAATGAAAATTCCAAATAAAGATTTGAGGATTCAAAGATATTTTTATTGTCATACCAGCTCACAATTGCATGTTTATGGTATGAAATTCAGACTCAGGTCCCAGATCAAGAAGCTCCTCTGCCGCATGCTTGAGGGGAGGGGCTGTAACAGGTTGTGTGCAGTATGAGTGGAGTCCTTCATGATGCGGAGCGCCCTCTCCCTGCATCGAGAAGTGTAGAGATCCGAGGTGGTGGGAAGGCTGCTCCCCACAGTCTTCTGTGCAGCTTTAACCACCCTCTGCAGAGCCATCCTCTCAGCAGCAGCACAGCTATAAGTATATAAATAAGTCTGAAATGGAAGTTTAATTTATATGCAGAATGTTCATAACATTAATGTGACCACATACAATGCTGATGTTGTTGTCCACTACTGAATATTTGCTTTATAGATTGAAGAAATATGAGTTTGTGACTGGACTGATTCCTAGTTTTATATACATGTTTAATGCCAACTTGTATGTACAGTATTACATTTTGTTTCAGTTGCGAGGCACATTGAGGACAAAAGATGGAAGAAATCAGTGAGCTGGAAAGTGTTTTTATCTTTTCAAAAAGAGCCAGATTCTCTGGGGTGTTCAGTAACCTTGATACTCCTCATTGTATTTTGTTCAGTTTTAGAAAAGCGTAGAACAGGGATCTAATTCCACTGTTTAGAACAACACGATGCCTGAATAACCTCAGGTGTAGGTGGCAGGCATCAGTGGGAATATTTCAGTGCTAGGTGAAAAATACAGGCTGATCCACTTCTGCTGTGAAGTTAATGACACCATACTGTACATGTGATGCTTATTTTTGAAGGTTGCTGGGATGCTTTCAGTGCTTAAACAAGTTTGATATAAATTTTACTGCATAAACTAAAACATTTAATTTACATAAACACAAACAGAAAGAGCCCAGGGCAGAGGAAGAAGCTCATTTTAATTCCTTAAATCTCTCTTTAAAACCCTTTTTTTTTATTATAGAATTTCAAAACAAGTTTTTTTTCCGGCTCTAATGAAGAATGTTTTGTTTGCAAATGAACATCTTGTACTCTGACTTTTTTTTTGTAGAGACTTTGCTTATAATAAAAACAAAATGAGTGGTTAGTATAGCCTGAGATTATATTCCTGCTTTAGATTAGTGTGAGGAAAAAAAAACTCTAATATTAAAAAAAACACCTCGCACAAACAAGCACATAGTGACATAGACATTCTGCAGAGGCGGGAGCCGAGAACGGTGAGCATGTTCATAGATGCTCTCAAGGTCACTGTAAGAGTTCTGATAAGAATGGAATAATCAGCCAATGTCCGCCGGTGAGATCCATAAACATTCTCGAGGTATGTCGAGGAATGGCCAAGAATAACGTCTGAGAATCCAAGAGTCCTGAAATGATGACACAAAGTTTATTCAGCTGGTTTCATCTGGTTATCAGTTGGAAATTCCTCAGGGAGGGGGCGGTGAGCGTCAGATTACATGTTCTCCAGGCGAATTCAGATAAGATGGCCTTCAAGACCAGCCAAGGGAGCCAAATTCAGATAAACACACAGTTGTTTTGGGGACAGGCAGAACTTAATGACATCTACCTTGAGTCTATGTTGGTCCACTCAGTTCCGAAATGTCCAAAATACATGGCCACACCGAAGGAACGTGCTTGAGTAAAATCCCCAAGATATGATCCATTCTGCCCAAAGCATTTGAGTCCGGGTACTCAAGGCACGAACCAAGTCATCATAAAGGCAAGCAGCGTGATCACGTCCAAATTTGCTGCTGACGACTTCCTTGATCGATTGATAAAACCAGCAACCAGCCGAATCCAAAAAGCAGGAACCATTTATCGAAAATCCAATTAAATATGCGTCCTCAAGAGCAAGTGATGAATGTGACGTTCTCTGTTGCACTTTTGACATCATAGTCAAAGATTAACGAAAAAATTCAAGTGATAAAAGTATTTTATGTTTAACATATCATCTTGGGGGGCAGATAAGATGTCCATAAGGGCCACGTTTGGCCCACAGACCTTGAGTTTGACACATATGCTTTAGAGCTGTATAAGAACTGAGAAAAAGGTTGAGTTTGAGCGGTTTGTGATTCTAAAGTCATAGTTCAGATCTTTGGAAAAGGGTGTACTTGTTGTAGATAGTTATTTAAACTTTATTTGAGGAGGTTGTTTAATTTTGATCAAATTGATGAGCTAAATGCTAGACCAAGACAAAGTAGGTTACTGCAGACTTAAAACAAACTCGACAATTTTATAACCATTCATTAATGCTATTTTATAAATCTATATCTAGCTGTAGCACAAACAAAAAAAAACAAAAATGCACAAGCTGTTTACGTAATTAGTGCTAGCTAACCAGCTAGCTTGTGCTAAAGCTAACTGGGGCGTTTCCTGCAGGAATGACTGCTGGAATAACCAGGAAATTAAAAACTGATGGTGGTGTAAAAGTTTTTTTGAGGTCTTCACATAAACCACTATAAAACTAATGAAATTGGAGTCAATTTAAAATGACAACCCATTATTATCTTGGTCCAGCTCAGGCTAGATAATAGCTAATAGGTAGCCTGAACGAGGTGGTCAGAATAACTTTTGGTCACAATAAAACTATTCTAAAGTGCCATCTGTAACAGTAAGAGAGATTACTTGTTCCTACCCTTTCCACAAAACCCCACTTAAAAAAACACTTTGAGTTAGAGCATAGCTAAGGAAGTGAAATTATCGTATCAGTTCTTTTAAGGTTACAAATTAACATCCCTCTCGTTCCTCTGTTTTCCACAGTTCTAATTCTTCCTCCACCACATCATTGACCAGCAACTCTCCGATGATGGGCGCAGGTGATTGGGCCGTTCCACAGGCCTCGAGACTGAAGTACCGTCAGCAGTTCAACACACTCGACAAACTCATGAGTGGCTACTTGTCAGGTGAGTCAAACACACACACACTTGTAAAAACACAAAATTTCTCCCTCCACTTGGGTGTTCAGTCTTAGTTGGTTTCACTTTGCGTACCATACATGCTCTCAAGTCCTCGTGATAGCTCTAAAGTCCATTTAAACTAAATCTGCAGACACACACACACATCCATCTCAAATGTGGCGTAAATTGACACTGCTGTTATTTCTGAGGCTGTGATGTTTACTTTGCAGGACCTCAGGTCAGAAACTCACTGATTGCATCAAACCTGACCCAAACTCAACTTGCTACCATCTGGTAAGTATAACCTAACATAGTGATGGTCCCTCTGCTGTTATTCCTGTCTCTTTATACTTTTAAAAGTCTTCTTAATGTCTATTATGTTGTTATTGTAAAGAAATTATTTTCTATTAATTCAGCACAAACCTTTTACATGCCAATGAAAACAAAATTAAAGGAATTGTCCAAGACCTACGGCTATTGGAGACCTAACTGGAGTAATTTAGCTCCCATTTGATGTGCACTAAATCATGATGCTGGATTATGCAGGGGATTAATTTGTTTTATCATAAAGACTCAAGGCTGGAAACACAACATCTTAGTCCTAAATGAAAAACTCCTGTCAGCAAAACCTGTTTGGCACAACAACAAAGAAATTGTTGTCATAACTTATTTGTGTGTGCAAACTGTACATTTCATGATAAAGCTGAGATTTGGAGCTTCGTTAATTGTATTTGCTGGCTTTATGAATAAAACATTAATATTATTTAAACCACCATGAATAAGAGCCAGTAAGCTTATCTGTCATAGAGTAATTTAACTGATAACACTAAAGCAATTTTTGCTGTAGTTTTCCATTTTCTCAAAATAAAAAAATACTCAATACATACAAATTATTATGGTGATTCAGACTGGTCAAATTAGGCTGTAAGTCTAGGCTTAAAATATTTTATTAAACCATTCATCCTACTTCTTACTACACCCTCATACTGCCAGAGTCACTTCAGAATCTGAAAATGTATGGCCCATTTTACTTCCTTTTTGCTAGCTTTGTGAAATATGCTTTGAGATTACTTACATGTGTATCATATGAGTACTGTACTCTGTAGGCCTTTTCACTCTGATTATTGCTGCAAAGACAGGCCCCTCCTTAAGCCACCTTTGTTGTTCACATGTGCACGAATCAGCCTAAACACTTCACATGTACTCACCAACTCAGTTCTGTGACTACCTCCTCTGTGACCTCAAAAGCCTAACTCCAGCAGATCAAACTTCAACCCTGTCTTAAAAGTGTTTAGTGCCACATTTTACGATTTTTCTGTTTTGTTTTTAACATTAAACTTTAGTGTCCCCCCCAAGAGACCAAGCAGAAAAAAATACTGCTCTCATATTCTGAGCTTGTCATCATTATGTTACTGTATAATTTGTAAACAGGAGCCTGGCAGATGTCGATAAGGATGGTCAGCTTCGTGCTGACGAGTTCATTCTGGCCATGCACCTGGTGGATATGGCTAAGACGGGCCATCCTCTCCCTCTCACGTTGCCTCAGGACCTGGTACCTCCCTCACTCAGGTAGCATGCAGAGCTGAGTGCAAATATGAAAGAAAAAAAGGATATATATATATATATATATAAAATATATATATATATATATATATATATATATATACACACACACACACACACAACTTCCTAACAGTCTTTTTCTTTCATTCCAGAGGAGGAATAAAGTCCTGTGAGCTTGTTAATGGAACAGGACCCTACATGACTCCCAGTTTAATAGACTCAACCGAGGCAGAACCTGTACAGAAGAACAAGAGCAGTGGTACGGCTTGATCCATCCCCCAAGTTTAGTTATGTTTTAAAACATTGCCATTGATGTCATACCTGCCCTTTTCTTCTCTTTTCAGTGTCCTATGAGGACAAGCTAAAGGAAAACTTTGCGAGAGGCAGCGCTGAGCTAGAGAAAAGACGGCTGGCTCTGGCCGAGGAGCAGAGGAAGGAGCGGGAGAGGAGAGATCGGGTGGAGCGGGAGGCTCAAGAGCATAGGGAAAGGGAGGCCAGGGAGCTGGAGAACCGGAGAAGGCTGGAGGAGGAGAGGCGGTTGGAGAGGCAGAGGGAGATGGAGAGACAAAGGGAGGAGGAGAGACAGAGGGAGCTGGAGAGGAAGGAGGTGAGTGAGAGGTTATGAGATGAAAAATGTCAAAAATGTGGTCTCTGATAACCGTCTGCCTTTGTACTTTCAGGCAGCAAAGCAGGAGATGGAACGTCAAAGGAGGGAAGAGTGGGAGCGAAGAAGGAGAGAGGAGCTGGGAAGGAGGAAAGAGGAGGAGCAGGAGGAGATTTCTCGACTTCGGGACAAAAAGAAGAGTCTGGAATTGGAGCTAGAGGCAGTGGTGAGTCTGTGCTAGCACTGATAAACGTAGAAACAAGTTTTAAAAATGCTGATTTCAATTCTCTCGTCTCTCAGGGCAACAAGCACAAGCAGATCTCAGACCGCCTCCGTGATGCTCAGAGCATGAGGCGGATTCAGAAAGCGGAGGTCGACCTCATCAATCAGAAGAGAGACGCACGCATTGCTGAGATTAACACACTTCAGCTTGAATTCGAGGTTAAACCTGTTATTTTTTAATGTAACTTTGTCATGTATTTTATATTTGACTTATACTGATGAAGGATTTTTTAATGTCTTTGATCTCTACAGGACTGGCAGAGGAAGCTCTCTCAGCTTGTTCCAGAACAACAGCGTCTGACTGAGAAGCTGCGAAACATCAGCCTCAATAAACTCCCCTGTGAGTAACAAAGATCATACCGATCTGCAGGTTGGCTCAAAAGTCTCTGACCTCTGACCCTTTGCTATGTAGCCGTGACTCTGACCTCCCTGACGGGCAGCGTGACAGAGAAGAGCGTGAACTGCCGCAGGCTGAAGGATCAACTCGGCATTCTGGAAAAAGAAACAACAGACAAGCTTGCTCAAATGGAGCAATACAACAAAGATCTGAAGGTCAGTGGATCAACCAGATCACGACATGAAGTGCTCTTAGAGTGACTCATGAGTTAATACTCTGAATTCAGAACCAGTTTTAGAATTCTGAAGTTATGTACAGATGTTAGAAAACCCTCTTTAGCTTGAAAAGGGTTAATTTCATGTTTTATATCAGATCTAATACAGTATCAGGGAACTAACAAACTACTCTTGGAAAAAAGTTACAATGGTCTCGTCTTATACCTGCTCCAAAGACAAATTTAAGCACTTTAAAGCATTTTCAATGGCAGTTTTCAAACCATAATTATCTATACTGTATAAAAACAAACACAACAAATGTTGAAAATCTATTACATATAAAAATGTTTCATCCTATGTATGCTGTTTGTGCCAATATAAAACAATCTAAAAAAGTTAAATCTGGTCCTCTGGACATTCAAAAAAAACAAAACAAAGCAAATCAACAAAAAAATGTAGAAACGTTTCGTCTGTCATCCGAGAGACTTCCTCAGTCTGAGGAGCTGTATTCAGCTCAGTCTCTTAA